AATATTAATAATGCACATATTATCTTTGTACATTTCCATGAATGCTGAAATATCCAATGAAATACAATACGTCTAATGTAAAGTGTAGAAAAAAAATGTAATGGAGTTATTATTCCCCCCGAAATAGGACCACGTTTCGCTCGGTTACATGTTGAGCAGAACATTATTTCTTCTCCCTTGACATTGCGAGTGATTTAAATTGAAACTCGAGTCATTTTGTACTTTATTTCTTTCATTGATCTAACTTATTTTAGACTCAACCCCCTTAATTCGATATTTTAGCCTGCCAACCAAATACTTCGCCTCGTACAGTTTGCCGACCTCTGATTTGATCGGCATCATCATGATCATCATTCAAGGTCGTATTAATGTAACACGCTTTCAACTATCCTTTCCTCTCCCCTTCTACGTACTTCCAGATCAATTTCTAAAGATTCGGCCTATTTGAAACAAAAATATATAACACAGTTGACGTAACACATAGAATTACGTAAAAATAGGATGAAATAACTTCTTTCGTAGAGATTATAATTTAAATATTGTCTACCTCTCGTCGAGATTCCTTGTTATAGTTTGTCAACCACTTCCGTATGAACGGAGCCAATAGCATGGGATCTAATTTTGCAACGTCCTGAGACGAGATAAGACTCACAAGGAGACCAATCGTCATTGTTACTAACGCCCCGGTGACTGTATACCAAAGGTAGCTAAGTCGGAACAATGCCAACGGTTCTCTAAAATTGATTAAAAAAAATTGTTATAAATTTCTTCATCACGTATATCGCCTTTTGGCCAAAAAGTCCGCGACTCACGGGAGTAGATCGTCGTTATCCAAGAACGTATCTGGAGGTTCGAGCAGCATCAAGTTTTCGACTTGAGGAAACGTATAATAGCAACCTTCCGTAGTTACCGGTTTTTCGTCGAATCTATTCGAACGCAATTTAATTATTAAATAATAGATATTTTCGTAGTATCAGTCATAAATGTCCTCGTTCGGACTTAATTATCTATTAAATATTACAAACTGTACCAGCGGATGAAAAAGTATTAAGATCATCAGATTATTTTTTACTCTTACTTTATTGTTCCTCGAGCAATTGCCGTTTCCGCCGAAAGACCGATCCATCCCATAAAACTTATACCGGACAGACCACCTATCAGAGCACCCTGTATTTTGTTTTAAAATTACAAATGCTGTATATACACGTTGTAATATTTTCTCTTCATATTGAAGTTTCACGTACTTTAGCATTTATCCAGGGCAACAAGACACCCATGCTGAATATTCCAAGAGATGGTCCACTTGCAATGGAACTTAAGGTCGTAGTCAACTGAAACAGATTTTATTTCGAATAAACGTTTTATTTAATTAAATTGTGTACGTATATTACCTGCAACACGTGAGACTCTGTTTTTTCAACGACGAATACAAGCGCTACACAGATTATTCCGAGAGTAACCACTATGATTTTCACTAAACGATCCTCACTTTTGGGAGAAAAAGGCGTCTTTCTGAATGGTTTAATGAAATCTTCTAACACTACCGCGGCCATAGAATTCAAGCCAGTCGATAAAGAACTAAAGCAAGGAAATTGATCGATATTTAGTCTTTTATTATTAACCATTCTCTGGATTACGTGAATTACCTTAATGCTGCGCTAAATACTCCGGCAACAAAGAGACCTGGAAGGCCCGGAAATTCACTTAATACATTCATAACGAGTAGTGGCAACAACTGATCCTTCGCAGTTACTAACTGTGTAAGAAAGATACATATTGTTTAAAAATATTCCGCCAAAATTGTAAGATTTATGTAAAATGCAATTTTATGTAAAATGCAAATAATAAAATATCATATAATTTCCATAAACATGAGATCTTTCTATTATTTCTAGTTCGCGGTATATACCGTTGAATTAGAGTACAAGGGAAGTCTGATCATTACCTTCGTTGTAAGTGGATCACATACATGGTACCATGCATATATTAACATTCCAGCGTAGCCGCATATTCCTATTAAAATCAAGACTCCGATTGTAAAAGTCCAAAGCGCTCTGAAACGTTTACTTTTACTCTACATTATCGAACACATCGGTAATCTACGAATAATATAATTGGAAGAGGAATAATTAACGTACCTTCTAGCGGATTTTAACGTGGGCAATGAAAGGTATCGTTGTATCATGTTCTGATTGAGAGCGGATATTTGCAACCAATGAAAGAAACCACCTATTACGAGGGACCAGATCGTATGCCTCGTTAGAGGACTCCAATCTGACCTAATTGAAAATTTATGCGATGTATAATTTTATTAACAGTGCTCACTGTAATGGACATTGAAGTTATAAATATTTATTTTTCTCTTACGAGGGGAATTCAAGTCTTCCAGATTCTAAATTTCTCCTTATTACTAACGCCCATCCCCCTACATCGGATGTACCCTTGACAATAATTAACAGCATAGAACCGAACATTATGAATGTCTGAATAAAATCTGTCCATACTACTGCCCGTATGCCGCCCTGATAAATAGAATGCGAGTTAATTTTAATTGTACTTCTAATGATAATTTTTTAAGTGATGGCAATCATTTAGATTCGTTTCTTACCACGCACGTATAAAAAATGCACACGATACAAACGAACGGAGTTACTACATGTATATTCACGCCTGTGACTGTAAATAAATATATAATTGCATATATTAATTTTACGTGTGATTTTATTAGAAATTACTCGATAAGCGTCCAATACCTTGATTGAAAGCTAACGCTGGCACGTAAATAACAATAGGAAGCCACGTTATCTGAAAAATTAATTCACCGCGTTTGTGTGACAGAAACTTTGGAGTTAATTGAAGTATATGAAATAAAAATGGAATTGAACTCACGATGCCGATCGCGAACAGTATCGAGCCTAGAGTTCTAATTTTCCTATCGAACCGCTTTTCGAGATATTCGTAAGTGGTTGTAAGTTTGAGCTCATGAAAAATCGGCAAATAGACTGCAGACATTACGAAAGCGACGATAACTGTGCCGACACCAACAAAAAGGTAACTGGTACCGTGCACATAAACTTCTGTTGGTGTACCCAGCAATGAAATACCTATTATAATAAAAGAGACGAAATACTTTTGCTCCTATTAACAATATAAAATAATCAGTAGTCTTAGAAATTATTACAAACGAAATCGTACCAGATATGAAAGTGGCTATTAGACTTAAACTGACTGGAAGCGTTTTCATGTTCCTACCACCGACGAGATATTCAGCTATTCCGGATGATTTCTTAATAAAGCCGAAATAAATGCCAATAAAGCCGCAACTGACTAACATCAATGCAAAAACCGCGTAGTCCCACATGCCAAAGCTTCGCATCATTTCGCTAACTTCCTGCACCGTCGGCGTGTCTTGCGACCAGTTCGGCTGACGGTCCTCTGAGATACTTTCCGCGGTCATTTTATTGCAGAATGGAATTTTGCAATCCTTTTCAAAGCCGTTTTAAATTATAAAGTAAATCCTTGGAGAAATAAAAATCAATGTTAAATAATGATATATAACTAACAATAAATTATCCTTCCCGTGGAAAGCTCTAACAGTATTATATAGTAACGCGAGGAAATCGAAAAACACGGAAAGTAAAGCTTAAGGATGTTCTTGATTAATATGATTATAAAACTGGCACTTACCTTAATTTCCGTATTAATTTTTTAATCCATTGAAATTATGATCAACTGCATGTCAACAAATTTTTCGCTATTTCATATCAAATAAATTTGCAATTTAAAAGAAATATCGATTTGAGATCCGTATCGAACGGTCAAATGTAAAAAACGTTCTGCACGCTCGACGTAACACTCCAGGAAAATATAAATCTTTTCACATTGAACAGAATATTAAATTATTATATTATATGAGAGTTATTAATGTATGACACGAAAAATTGTAGTGGATATCACGGAAGACCGACCGCAGCTAGCGTGACAGGTCATTTGATAGGAGCCAAAAGCATGAAGCGGCTCGATCTGATTGCACACATCACGATTGTGCCATTGTGACAATTTTCTCATTAAACCAACAATGGACATTAAGTACGGAGTTAAAACGACCGGGTATATGCCACTGTGAATCGTAAGTGGATAATGCGACCTAAATATAGTGATAGTTGTGTAGATGTGTTTGATCATATTGGTGATCGCACTTCAACCAAGTTCCTCAATGATTTTCGGGTGTGAGTGTCATCTGTTAATAAGGTATTCAGGAGTACTACAATCGATAGCATGGCCTTATATAATACTAGGAGTTATTTAAGGAACGCGCAAGTGGATAATATGTGTTCTTTTCTTTTAATAAATAAATGTATACACGTTTCAGCATATATTTTTTAATTTAATTAAGAAACAAAATGTAATTGATACAAGATTTTAAAAAATACAGAATAATTCCCTTCGATTCTAGTTTTTACCCTTCATAGAAGCGTGGCAAATCATTGCCTAATATAACGTTCCTCTCCACTCCTTTCTCTGTAATAACTCCAGTTCGGATAACACCACCGCTGCTACCATCACGAGACATTGCTAAGGCCAGTGCTGTAAAAATAAGAGAGTGTAATAAATACAAAGTTATTAAATTTCTGTTTTTGAAATGTATTGAATTCTTACTGGATTCAACTAATTTGAGACATTCATCCTTGGTCATATTTGGTTTATACTGGGAATCCATGTAACCGTAAACATAAGTTGAACCAGAGCCTCCAATGGAAATTGGTTGTCGTACGCACATACCACCTAGTGGAATACTATAAACTTGTCCACCTTTACGACTGTCCCACCCTGCCACCAAAATTCCTGCCATTAAAGAATCTCTGTAGTTGTAACATAATTCACGGAAAACATTCGCTGCTGTTTCAACTAAGGGTTCCATCCCTAATTCCACCCTGTAAAAGTTAAACCAATGCACATTTTTATCAGCGGCTTTTAAAAAAGGCAATGAAGCAGAGAGTACATGTACTTACTTATGTAAACTCAAATGGTATGAAACTATATCAGTAATAGCTTGAGTATCTGCTGCAGAGCCAGAGCGACAACAGTAGATGTAATCTGTAACTTTGGTCAGCTTATCGGCGAAACGGTTGGAGATATATGCCCTACAACAATCAATTATATAGTTAATAACAATATGATTATTATGTTATTATTGAAAAAATGATTGTAATATAGCGTACCCTGTGGTTG